TCCCTCCCTCTCAGGCCTCACCTTCCCTCCCTCTCAGGCCTCACCTTCCCTCCCTCTCAGGCTTCACCTTCCCTCCCTCTCAGGCCTCACCTTCCCTCCCTCTCAGGCCTCACCTTCCCTCACTCTCAGGCTTCACCTTCCCTCCCTCTCAGGCCTCACCTTCCCTCCCTCTCAGGCCTCACCTTCCCTCACTCTCAGGCCTCACCTTCCCTCACTCTCAGGCTTCACCTTCCCTCCCTCTCAGGCCTCACCTTCCCTCCCTCTCAGGCCTCACCTTCCCTCACTCTCAGGCTTCACCTTCCCTCCCTCTCAGGCTTCACCTTCCCTCCCTCTCAGGCCTCACCTTCCCTCCCTCTCAGGCTTCACCTTCCCTCCCTCTCAGGCTTCACCTTCCCTCCCTCTCAGGCCTCACCTTCCCTCCCTCTCAGGCCTCACCTTCCCTCTCTCTCAGGCCTCACCTTCCCTCCCTCTCAGGCCTCACCTTCCCTCACTCTCAGGCTTCACCTTCCCTCACTCTCAGGCTTCACCTTCCCTCACTCTCAGGCTTCACCTTCCCTCACTCTCAGGCTTCACCTTCCCTCACTCTCAGGCTTCACCTTCCCTCCCTCTCAGGCTTCACCTTCCCTCCCTCTCAGGCTTCACCTTCCCTCACTCTCAGGCTTCACCTTCCCTCACTCTCAGGCTTCACCTTCCCTCACTCTCAGGCTTCACCTTCCCTCCCTCTCAGGCCTCACCTTCCCTCCCTCTCAGGCCTCACCTTCCCTCCCTCTCAGGCCTCACCTTCCCTCCCTCTCAGGCCTCACCTTCCCTCACTCTCAGGCTTCACCTTCCCTCACTCTCAGGCTTCACCTTCCCTCACTCTCAGGCTTCACCTTCCCTCACTCTCAGGCTTCACCTTCCCTCACTCTCAGGCCTCACCTTCCCTCCCTCTCAGGCTTCACCTTCCCTCACTCTCAGGCTTCACCTTCCCTCACTCTCAGGCTTCACCTTCCCTCACTCTCAGGCCTCACCTTCCCTCCCTCTCAGGCTTCACCTTCCCTCACTCTCAGGCTTCACCTTCCCTCCCTCTCGGGCCTCACCTTCCCTCCCTCTCAGGCCTCACCTTCCCTCACTCTCAGGCCTCACCTTCCCCCCCTCAGAGAGCTCGTCCTGCGTCATGGTGTTGTGGCACCCCAGCCCTGCACCCCATCACTGCCTCACAGTGGATACACTGGGAGCGTGTGACGGGTGTGTGCTGCTGTGAGCAACACTCATCACCAGTGACCCAGACGATGAGTCGGCAGGAAATAATACATAATGAATCTGGCTAACAGCATCACTTTCCCCCACGTCTTGCTTACTCTCTTCACATTGCACCTTCATCTGTTCCTGGGCCCGGACCGCTGTGCCTTTTCCTCTTCTCTTGCGTTTACTTTTCACGTTTCTCTTTTTGCCCCTCTTCATGTTTTACCTTCATCTTCCCGCGATATAATCACTTTCGCGGTATTGAACACGTTCCTCGCGGGTGTAACATGAGGAAGGTGTCAATTCTTGTTTAGGTTTTGTTCACTAACGTCTGTTCAATGTCGGATTTTTTATCGCAGGTGGTCTGCTGCCTCTTAACGTTGTTGTGTATTGAACTTGCTGGTCGTTGGCACTCCCTGTTGACACGGGACCCGGTCGGCCGAGCGGACAGCACGCTGGACTTGTGATCCTGTGCTCCCGGGTTCGATCCCAGGCGCCGGCGAGAAACAAATGGGCAGAGTTTCTTTCACCCTATGCCCCTAATACCTAGCAGTAAAATAGGTACCTGGGTGCTAGTCAGCTGTCACGGGCTGCTTCCTGGGGGTGGAGGCCTGGTCGAGGACCGGGCCGCGGGGACACTATAAAGAGCCCCGAAATCATCTCAAGATAACTTCAAGAAGATAACCCCTGGGGCGGGCGCTCTGCTCTCCCTGGCCAGTGTACCTGCCTCTCCCGTCCCTCGTCCCTGAACCAGGCTTCTCCCAGGAGAGGATGCATGAAGTATTCGCCCACCCATTTACGAAGCATGTACATCTTTCCTTAATCATGGCAGCTTTGTTTACATATATTACCAGTTTCCGAGCGTGAAAACTTCACAACCCAAGGTTATTATTGTCATAGAGAACCTCATAGTGCTTCGGAGCTCACAAGTTGTTTAATAAATTCAACAAAGCTGACACGATTAAGGAAAGATGTACAGGTTTCGCAAGTGCTTGCATAAATGTTCGATGTATTCTGGGCCCTGTTAGTACCACACTCCCAGCCAATGTAGTCATGCGCGAATTCGCCTTGGCTATGGGCACATCTGGCAGGTTAGTGAGGCTGAGCCACTACCAGAATACTCAGATTGTAAACTCTGTGACAAACCTTTAATGCATTCACTGGAACACTATATTGTTGAATGTGAAACCGTAAAAGATTTTAGACCTCCTGGCCTCTTGTACCACCAACTGTGTAATTATTTTATTGACTCAGGTGTTCTGGACGACATCCTAACAATTTATCCAAAATTTGCTTGTCCATTTTAAAGAATGAAGAGCAATTTTATTTATATTATTTTTAAGCTGTATCTCCTATGAACCCATCGCTGCCCTTGTGTGGCAATGCACAATAGAAAGTTGTATTTACATATTCGTACATTGAAGCGTGTATACAGTCGAATGTAGTTGATTGTAACCGTCATATATATGTACTTCAGTCCACAGTCTATTGTCTTGTGTATGATCCTCTGTCCTGTGTGACAGTCAATACCACCATTATCCTCACTTTAATTAGATCTAATTGAATTCCTCAGATTAGGCAAAATTGTAATTAATTTTTGTCACTAAAGATGTTAATACAAATTAATCCCCGCCTACCCACTTCACTTCGATGCCCTGATTAGTCGCGCAGGCGTCGTCCTCGGAGCGGAGTCGACCCTAAACCCCGCCGCATATGACCTGTGGAGAGACTGTTTAATAGGCAAATCTGAGGACGCGAGTTTCAGCCTAATTGGGTGCCTCCTTATGAATTCAGTGCTGGGTGAACAGCCGGCCCCGGGCTTGTTAGTCGGGGGCGGGTGTCGGGAGGCCGGGGCAACGATAGAGTGAGAGGTGAAACAGGAAGAGGATGGTAGGTTTAATGGACCAACTAAGAAAAGAAAGGATTGGGATAGAAAATGAGAGTAGACTGTACAGTACTTGCCTGTCAGACTGCGGGGTGACGAGCGAATTTCCCAACTGCCGCTTAGCACTTAATTTGCGTATGCAAATAAAGAGCAGCTGCAGAAATTAATCCCTTTGCCGGAAATTGATCCCTGGAGATGGCCTACTTGCGATTACAGTCAAAATCAGGGACGACGGTTCACCGAACACCACTGTGATAAGGGACGACGGTTCACCGAACACCACTCTGATAAGGGACGACGGTTCACCGAACACCACTCTGATAAGGGACGACGGTTCACCGAACACCACTCTGATAAGATTCGCCCATTTTTTTATGATTTTGTATTGGTGCTTTTTAAGGAGGAACTATTATACTTTTTTGTTTATCTGGAACTGAGCGTTACCTTGAAGGGAACACTGGTTCCGAAGGACCAGTCTGGTCAACCAGGCTGTTTGATGTAGTACCTGCTTACCTGGTTGATGGGGTTCTGAGGAGTTCTTCTACTCCCCAAGTCCGGCCCAAGGCCAGGCTTGACTTGCGAGAGTTTGGTCCACCAGGCTGTTGCTTGGAGCGGCCCGCAAGCCCACATACCCACCACAGCCCGGTTGGTCCGACACTTTTTTTTGGAAAACAATCTAGTTTTTTCTTGAAAATATACACGGTTGTTCCGGCAATATTCCTTATAGTCGCTGGGAAGACGTTGAACAACAGCGGACCTCTGATGTTTATACAGTGTTCTCTGATTGTGCCTATGACACCTTTGCTCTTCACTGGTTCTATTCTGCATTTTCTTCCATGTCGTTCACTCCAATATTGTTCACGATGGGCAGAGTTTCTTTCATCCTGATGCCCTTGTTACCTAGCAGTAAATAGGTACTTGGGAGTTAGTCAGCTGTCACAGGCTGCTTCCTGTGGGTGGAGGCCTGGTCGAGGACCGGGCCGCGGGGACACTAAAGCCCTGAAATCATCTCAAGATAACCAGCTCCTCCAGCTGCCGGCCCTACAACCTGTCTGGAAACAGGGACGCCACCCACCCTGGCTGCCCTTGTCAACATCGACATGACATCCGAAGATGACGACGGACCACCCGTAACTCCGACAACCGACACCAGGAGGCGCTCCAGAGCCGACACTGACGTTGACGAGAATAACCTTGCGACCGAGAACGACAACAAAAGGACCGCCAATGCTCTCTGCATTGCGCCCAACGAGTCCAAAAGCAACGCAAACACCAGACAACTGCCCCACAAATGTAACAGTGTAATCATCACGAAGAACGTCAACAAACTGACCTCACCACACTGAAGGAGGACTACCACCACCCGTAATTTCACCGCAAATTCCCAGACGAACAAATGGAATTCCCGGAAAAGGACGACGATCCTGATGGTACCAAACAACCGACGTCATTGTGTACAAAAGTAAAGCGTCGCCTTGCGCATTAATACAAGTATTTGTGTGTACGTCTGGAGTTACAGCACCACTCCTGTGCCAGGTAAGTCCACTACGGGCTCACCATAGCCCGTGCTACTTTGGAACTTTTGTTCTAAGTAGCTGAATTTAAAACAACGTGTACATCTAGCAATAAACTGCATATGTAGAGGAAAAAAAATGTACATTTATCTCACTCAGAATGTTCGGTAATATGTTTATTGTTTGTGATGTGTGTGTGGGTTTATATATGAACACGTTGTACAGAACGGGGGGTGAGAATAGCTTGAGGTACCTCATCCCTTTGCGTGAATTTATACCTCAATAAACTTATTTCAATCCCTGTGTTTGGGGAGTTGGAATGCCTGTGTTGCTCGAGGAATGTGTTACTGACCGGGTGGTTGTGTTGTGTTGCAGGGGACCACGAGGTGATGCGGTTCGTGGGCAACGACACCCACGACGAACACTTCAAACTGATCCTCCACGACGCGTCCGGCTCCCTGCTCGTCGGTGGGAGGTAAGTGGCAACCCGCTTCTTGTGTGGTGAGGGAGAGTGTAGATGAATGTGAGAGTGACATTGTCTTAGTGAGAGTATGTGAGAGTGACATTGTCTTAGTGAGAGTATGTGAGAGTGACATTGTCTTAGTGAGAGTATGTGAGAGTGACATTGTCTTAGTGAGAGTAAGAGTGTATGAGAGTAAACATGAATAGTAGTGTACTCACAAAATTTACCTACCTACATTTGTAGGTACTGGGTAGTACTGGGTACTACCCAGTACCTACAAAATTCTTAGTGGAATTGACAGGGGTAGATAAAGACATAGTTGTGCTTGGGGGAGGTAGAGGGGGGGGGGCGGGTGGAGCTTCGGGTCTTTGGTCCCGCCTCACAATATTTTGCTTACATTTCTTACTTACAACTTGTTATAACTTACATTTCCTACAACATTTTATTAGTGAACTATAGTGTGTGTGTGTGTGTACTCACCTAGTTGTGCTTGCGGGGGGTTGCTCTTTGGCATGTGTATTCACCTAGTTGTGTGTGTGTGTGTGCCCACGCTGATTATGTAATATATATAAATAATATAAATAACGATATATATATATATATATATATATATATATATATATATATATATATATATATATATATATATATATATATATATATATATATATAATATATAAATATAATATACGCGTATTAATAATGGGTATTAAAGGTGATGATAGAGGAGGTGGAGGTATAGGGCGCGCCTGAGGCGGGTTCATCACTAATCACCACCGGACTAACGCGGCCTCCTTGTCTTGTCTTCCAGGAACGTCATCTATAACATCAGCGTCGCCGACCTGCAGGAGCAGAATGTGAGTACTGCCTCACCTTCACAATGTTGTGGGAATGTGTGGGTACTGCCTCACCTTCACAATGTTGTGGGAATGTGTGGGTACTGCCTCACCTTCACAATGTTGTGGGAATGTGTGGGTACTGCCTCACCTTCACAATGTTGTGGGAATGTGTGGGTACTGCCTCACCTTCACAATGTTGTGGGAATGTGTGGGTACTGCCTCACCTTCACAATGTTGTGGGGGTTATTCACATGGAACGGCAGGCTATGGAGTGCCGTTGTAGGGGTTAGTGGAACTAGAAGGCTGTTGTGGGAGGTAATGAACAATATTTGCCATTTTACTAGTAAAATGGAACATAATGTCAGGGGCTTACAGGCTTGCTATACAATTTAGATCATGGTATTAATGGTAAGTAAAAACTAAGAATAATATTCTATATATGGGACTAAAGAAATACTCTACCAGTGAGGTAGATTGTGTTTGTAGCGCATCAATCTACAGACACATACTTCCGGTGGAGTAGATAGTGATTGTGATAGGATCTACGTCTACAGGAACACACTTCCGGTGGAGTAGATGTTGTTGGATAATACTTCGGTTGACACTTTCATGATAGATTCCGCTTTCTGAAAAGTGGTTGATGATGGAGCCAGTTACTTACCGCCTTGATGCTTTGGTAACGGGTAGTTTGGCAGTTAGTGTTGGATGGGAGTAGTGATTGTTGCATGGTTGTTGCTGTTTGTGATGATTAAGTGCTAATACAGTGAGTGTTGAAGTTAGTGGCTGCTTGAATGACTTTAATGATGACTAACGATAGTTACTGGAAAGTTATTAACGATTAAGAAAAGTTACTACTGAGTTATTAGTGACCAGGGGTTAGTGATGAGTGGCTGGGCCCAGTAGTCGAGTTTGTGATTGATTGATAAGAGATTAAGTCACCCATGAGGAGGCACGGGCATGAATATCCCGTAAGGTCGAGTTAGTCTTGGTTGGAGCTAGTTATGGTGTTGGTTATGGCTTGTAGTGTAAACTTTTAATTGTTTACGGGCTCACCATAGCCCGTGCTACATGGACACTGAGTTCTGAGTAGCTAAATCTGAAACAACAACAACAGCTTGTAGTGGTAGACCATCATAGGTGTGGTTACGATGCTGTTACTGTACACACAGCCCCGCTCCTGTGCCAGGCAAGTCCACTACGGGATCACCATAGCCCGTGCTACTTGGAACTTTTTGTTCCCAGTAGCTGAATTTAAAACAACATGCTGTTACTAGTGATGTTACTGGAGATGGTGGTAAGTTTGTTGTTGTTACAATACAGTAACACTGGCACTCGTGTTACTGTCTGTAACGGTGCCTGTCTATAACTTACATCAGTGATGGCACTTACCTACATGTACTTACCTGTCAGTGTGTACGGGGAAGTGAGGTGTGGCTCCATGCCCTGCCCTCTGGCCGTGTTGTATCTGTTACGTTATAATTGATTTAACATAATGTTCGAATGCCTTGTCGAATCTAGCTTTATAGTTGTGCATGGAGGTGGCTTCCATAACTACTTCTTTCAGTGCATTCCACTTGTTAACCACCCACACAGGGTACGGGTGGTGGTGGTGCTGGTGGTACCTGCTTGATACCTGCTTGATGGGGTTCTGGGAGTTCTTCTACTATCCAAGCCCCAAAGTGGTGGTGGTATTGGTCACGCTACTGGTAGTGGTGGTGTTGGGGTGGTGATGGTCACGCTACTGGTGGTGGTGGTGGTGTTGAGAGTGGTGGTGGTGCCGTAGTGGTGCTCGTCGCCGGCCGGCGCTTCCTCATGAGGTAATTGATTGAGGAAATTATGAGGAAATTGGCGAGTGTTAGCGGCGGTAATGATGCCATGAGGGAATACGACTACATGGCCCTGGGCTCATTATGTGAGATAATTATTCTTGAAGGCAGGGGGGGGGGGTGCTGGACCCACCACCTGCGCCATCTATGGTTACCTTGCACCACGTCAGGATGGACTCTTAAGTAGGGGAGACTGACGTCTTCTCTTGTGGTAAGGAGAGTTCCTTAGTGGCAAGTATACCAAGCTGTTCTTTCCTTGATCAACTTGGGTGATATCTGGTTATGGTTATCTAAAGGTTATCTAGAGATTATTTCAGGGCTTAGCGTCCCCGCTGCACGGTCCTCGACCAGGCGTGGAGGGAGTTTAGGGAAAGATATGGTGGTGTCTCCTCTCTCTCCCTCCCTCTCTCTCTCCCTCCCACCCTCTCTCCCCTAATCATCCTTGCTCTCCTTTCCTCCTCCGCCCCCCCCTCCTACCTCAATCTCTCACCAGCCCCCTCGCTCCTTCTCTTCCAAATCATAATCAGGGCAGAAAATGTCTGCAGTCGCTCACGGGGAGCACGGGGCGGGTGACTTAGTTAATCAGGTGTCGCCCAGTGACACTCATCGCCGCCACCACCACCACCATCTTCACTATCATCATCATCACCACCACCCTCGTCGTCGAGGCCGTCTTTATCACCATTATCCCTATCATTCTTCATGCAGCGTCTCACTAATGATTTATGAGTAATGATCAAAGTTGCGCACTTAATTGTCAACCACCAGCGCCTCCAACATGTTCTGATGACAACGCTCTGAATCGCCAGCGGTTGTGGGAGGGGTGGGGGGGGGAGGGGTCGTGGTGGGTCGTGGTGGGGTCGTGGTCCTGCACTATAGTGAGTGACGGTGGGAAGGGTGGTGAGGGGTGTGGCAGTGCCGCCAGTGGGTGTGATGATGGTGGTGAGGCAGTGTGGTGGTGGATATGGTGAGAGGAAACACAGGGCAGGAAAGGCGAGAGGAGACCCTCTCCAGGTATGAAACACAGCTACAAGGTGAGGTCAGCCTCTACATCAAAAACACACTCGTCTGCATTCAGCTGCTAAATACACATACAATGATATGTTGGATGTGCTGATAATTGAAATTGAAATCCTAAATGGGGGTTATTGTCCTCGTATACGAGTCACCAGAGGAAAATCCTCAGCAGTTTAAAGACCAACCAGTGAGAACAGAATACTGCTTAGCACACCTCACAAACCCTGCCACAAATATTATCTTGCTTGGTGACTTCAGTCTACTGCACCTAAAATGAAAAAAAATGTGGCATACAGTTATTTAAAAGAGATGCCTAGGAAGCAGTCTAAATAAACAGAACATGAAATAAATGACCTCTTACAGATATTGTGACAGATTTGCCTTAAACCAGCAAATAGTAGAACAAACTTGAAGAGAAAACACCCTAAACCTTATTTTTATAAACACTAATGAACTGGTTAGGAAACTAATATTACAAATACCTGTTACTCAGATCATAACCTAATAGAGTATGAGCCAATTATGAACTGACCTGCGCAGCAAGTTTTAAATCCAAGAGGAGGAGAATTCAACAAATTCAATTTTAATAATATAAAGATTAACTGGGAAATAGTAAACCAAGACCTCACAGAAATGAGCTGAGAAGAACAGCGAGATAATGCAAACCAAAATCAGTGCCTTGAGAAAATAGACTCAGTATCAGTCTCACACCGACTCAGTATCAGTCTCACAGCTTCATAGAAAACACCGACTCAGTCGGTGTTTTCTATGAAGCTTTTCAAGGTAAACTAAAATATTCACAATAAATTAGTATGTCACATATGCACGTATTTAATAAGTCAATATTGACTATACAAAAGTGCGAGAACGGGTTGCACGAATATGTTCTCTGCTCGTCACTCTCTCACTCGTCGTCCTCTGCGTATGCTCGTCGCATACCACAAAGAGAGAACATTATGCAAATTGAAACGAGAACGGCGTTCCGTTTGTAGAGAAAGAACACAAATCACAGATACACCTAACACTACACTCAATCTCAAGAACGACAAGGAAAAAATGTAGAAGCGATCATATTAAAGCTACAAGAATCATATAAAATCCAGGAGAGGCAAAGACAGCAAAAGCCCATCAGTGAAATAGAAAGGAGCTCAAAACCACTTTAAATGAATGAAATACTGAGGTTACGATTCTGTTTTTAGTGAATCCTAAAATTTGATCGGAATCAAACCAATTCTTCATGAATGTGATAATGAATATATCATGTCAGGCGTCACCCCTAACCCCACTGGACTTTGAAATACCAATACAGTGCGCCCATGCACTCTGCGCCTAGACAACATTCCTAGAATTTTGTAATCAAGAATTAAGACAACTATCCCAGACCTTAAACATCATTTGGAGGTGGAGCTTGCCTCACCACTGACAGAACCCAATGGAGGCGATGAGTCACAATAACGTGGCAGTAGTATGTTGACCAGACCACACACTAGAAGTTGAAGGGACGACGACGTTTCGGTCTGTCCTGGACCATTCTCAAGTCGATTGTCGATTCTCAAGTGAATTTTTGTTGACAATCGACTTGAGAATGGTCCAGGACGGACCGAAACGTCGTCGTCCCTTCAACTTCTAGTGTGTGGTCTGGTCAACAAGACCCCAATGGTGTTATCTCCGAAATCGTTAAAACAACGAAAATCGCGCCACGCTCCACAAAGGAGGCAATAAAGCAGACGTACAAATTTGCAGACCGATAGCATTATCACGTGTAACAATTTCTGAAGGAGTGCTAAAAAGTTAGATCACAAACATGTGGAATCACACCGTCTACATAACCCTAGACAACATGGGTTCAGAACAGGGAAGTGGAAGATGGATCTTCCACTTCCTAGCGAACAGAACCCAGTGTCTAATAGTTATCAAAGTAAAATCCTAATCTTCTTCTATGAAAATCTCAGTCCCCCAGGGCACTATGCTTCCTCCGGTGCTTTTTTCTCATCCCCATAACGGACGGAAACAAGGACACAAATTATATAACGGACGGAAACAAGGACACAAATTATAGTACAATATCACCCATTGCAGATGATACTAGGATTTTTATAAGATTAAACAAACCTCCAATCCGATGTTAATCAGGTCTTCTAGTGGGCCACAGAAAATAATCATCACAATGGTTGT